TACGACGAGGAAATAATGGAGACCTCAGGCGAGTCACCATTGATAGCTGCAAAATTTTTAAGATACCTCTGCCATATACATTCATTGATAGTTCAATAAACATTGTATTTACCTTCAGTTTTTCGCGAGTTTACATTTTCGGTACTGAAATTTCATATGCTTACCTATCTCCTGAAGTTGACTGTTTTTCTCTAGCTTTTATATCTTTTGTTCCTGTTATTCATGGAACAGATCGTGGTCGTGTACGAACATCAAATATAATTGGTCTATGAAGCCATGAAATCATAAAATGAGTTCCTTCTTCAATAACATCTAGTTTAACACCTTGAAAACGATCAAAAATAACAGCTCGATGACCACCATCAACTAGAATATATTTATATTTAAAGAAAACTATTATAAAGCATAGAATTAATCACACCACCAGCAATAGCTAAACAAATACCAATTCTTCCTAAAACACTAAATTCTTCTATCGAAATAAAATATTATCTCAATATCTTACCAATATTATTAAATAAACGAGATGAATTTATAAGCAAATAGTTCCAGAAACAAAACGAAACCATATGAAAATTCTTCATATCTCTATCGATAGAAAAAGAAAATGCATCACTATTTAATCTATCTATCTACTACAATAACAAACCAATGTAATATATACATAGAAAAATAAAAATAAAACGTGTATAAAGTTTAGCACCGTTCAGATATTGTTCGTCGATTCGATTGTCGAGCTTGATCACGATTATTACGTGTCGGAAAATGTTCACCACTGATTTTTAATGAATTTGATGTTTCACTGTTCTTTGCTGCTGCAGCAGTAATTGCTTCGGGTGCTGGAACAGTCTATAAAGAAATTATATATATCATACAAAAAAAAAATGTTTTTCAGTTACTATAATTCTTGATTTTGTTGGAAAAAATTGTCGTGGAAATGATGCACCATCAACATGAAAGTCTTCACGATTTTTATAGGTTTTTAAAATTTCTTCAAGTTTTGAATTAATTTCTGGTTTTTGTCGAGAATATTTTAAAAATGCCCAGAAGTTTTCTAAACCATACAATTGACCTAAATAGAAAAAATATTTTTTTATTGACACTTTATTTTTTTCTGTAATCTATTTTATTACCAGCTTGATGATCACAAAGAGTTTCTTGTTGAAAATCTTCAAATACATGTTGACGAAAATGTTTTTCTAGACCATATGTATAAAATCGAAATAGACGTTCAACACCATATCTATACATAAATAATAATATTCAACTGTTTTCTTATTATTTTTCATAAAAACAATTCATTTATATACCGATGATCAGTTTTAGTATCTTCAACAGCATATTGTTTAAATTCATTATACATATGACGATTAAAATTTTCACATAAGAAAAATAACTAAACACGATAGAGTATGTTCATTTCCATTGATTGATCAGGACCAAGTTTAGCACGCTTTAGAAATTAGATCATAAGAAAACAAATGTATTCTATTTATAAATCAACATAATTTTAGATTATAAATATTTCCCATGAAATAATAAAGTTTGCCGAGTGTTTTTTATCATTGAAGATTATTTTATTGCTTTTCAAATTTATGATTATACGACAAAAATATGTCAAAAGGTAAATTATGTTATTAAACTGCCAAAATCAAAGCCACGTAAATAAGAATATAGGTCTTTCTAGACTATGATTTTTATCGGAGAGTAGTTTTCGCTGTTGTTTTTAGATATGTTGACTGTTCTTTATTCATTAAAATACTCAGTTTTTTTTCCGTTCAATGCAATATAATTTCAATCCTTTTTTTACCAGTAGCTTGTTTCTCTCGACATATTGTAAATATGTACTGAACTACTAATCTTTTTTTTCTCTACAATCAACTTTTTTTTTTACCACCAAGACATTCTTGTCTATATTTAAGATAAACTTGTTGAGTAAAACCATTTTGTTGTAAAAGTATATGAGATGGATGTTGAAATTAAGGAATTTTCACCGGTGTTGAACCATACAAATCATATGAATTTGAATTATTTCCATGCCAATAATGTGAATCATTGTATGATGATGAATATTGATCATAGAAATCTTGTTGTCGAGTTCTAAATAAGAAAAAAAGACTTATTCTATACTAATAATAATTGACATTCAATTGTTTGTATTAGGAATAAGCAATATAAGAAAATTCGTCAAAAAACAATGATAAAGCAACACAAGTTATTTTTTACTATATCCATTTATCTTACCCATATTGAACGATAAGAAAAATGATTTTATTATCTGTAATAAGTAAAGTGAAAGCAAAACGTTTAGAAACGCAGTATTTTTGACTTCTTTTCTTAACAATAATAACTACTATCCATTTCAAAATAAGGTATGCTCTACTGCCTTTTAAATATCAATATTTCATCGGCTAATTGGATAAGTTCTTGGCGAGGATTTTCGAAGGTTCCGGATCTTTTCTCTTGAATGGTGAAAACCGAAGATCTCTATGATGTTCCTATCAAAAGCTTTTCAAAAAAAAAAGCAGTGAGGCACATTATATTTTGAAATGGGTAGTAGAA